TGATTAAAAACCAACTCCACCCGGACCCACTGTGAGGGCTTGTCCTCCAGTCACCAAGAAGGAAGATGGTTATCATTACGACAAGCCTTCTCAAACCCCTCAACCCAGTAGTCAAACCAGTGGTCCACTTGTGATCGAGACCCCTAAGCCAAAAATTGTGACCACCAAGCCTACCACTCCTAAGCCCGTCAACAGAGAATACTTGCCTCCCGTTGTTAAGGCAGCTACTCCAGTTGTGCCAAAGACCACCCAGAAGCCAAAACCTGTTACCACCAAGGCCACCACTCCCAAACCTAAACCAGTCACCACCCAAAAACCCAAACCAGTAACCACCAAGGCTACCACTCCCAAACCCAAGCCCGTCAACAGAGAATACTTGCCTCCCGTTGTTAAGCCAGCTCCTCCAGTTGTGCCAAAGACCACCCAGAAGCCAAAACCGGTTACCACCAAGGCCACCACTCCCAAACCTAAACCAGTCACCACCCAAAAACCCAAACCAGTAACCACCAAGGCTACCACTCCTAAACCCAAGCCCGTCAACAGAGAATACTTGCCTCCCGTTGTTAAGGCAGCTACTCCAGTTGTGCCCAAGACCACCCAGAAGCCAAAACCTGTTACCACCAAGGCCACCACTCCCAAACCTAAACCAGTCACCACCCAAAAACCCAAACCAGTAACCACCAAGGCTACCACTCCTAAACCCAAGCCCGTCAACAGAGAATACTTGCCTCCCGTTGTTAAGGCAGCTACTCCAGTTGTGCCCAAGACCACCCAGAAGCCAAAACCTGTTATCCCCAAGGCCACCACTCCCAAACCTAAACCAGTCATCACCCAAAAACCCGTTACCACCCAAAAACCTAAACCCGTTATCACCAAAGCTCCCACACCCAAACCCCAAACCAGAACTCCCGCTCCCACATACTTGCCCCCCGTAGTCAAAGCCGGTCCCCCAGCCAAAAAACAGGAAGGTTACTTCTATCCCAACAATCCCCAACCATCCTTCACTTTCTAAAGTCCACGAACACTTTAATGTGTAATTAGTCGAAGAAATTTATTACATAGTTTAAGCACCCCCACCCCTGTTTTCTATATATAATATATGTTTTTTAAATATTTAAATTGTTGACAAACACAAAAATAATGCCATATTGTTTTGATGCTAAACTGTTCTAGAAGAAAAAAGAAAGAAAAACGGCCTTTATTTGTTGGTATCTTTTCTATGCAAAGAACCAAACAAATTCCAAACAAAACGAACAATAAAAAGAGTTATTAAAAAAAAAAAATACCTCCAGAGTTTTATTTAAAAAAAAAAAACAAAATATTAAATTAAAATGTTCAGTATCCTTTGACATTTTTTAGGAAACCGAAGGGAAAGAAGCATTGAATTTCTTTAATAACATAACAAATTGTATTACCAGACTAAAATGTATTTTCAAAATTCCTATGTTCTTTTTTTTCACAACATATAATTGGTTGTGTTAACTTTTATGGCCACTAAAACACAAAAAAAAATCACCAATAAAAAAAGAGAAGAGCAAAACCAAAAATGGAAAAATTGCTAAAAATAAGTAACTTTGAAACAAACCAATCATAGGAACTAACTGAACTGGTTTCTCAGCCTTCTTCTAATCGCCAAAAATCGCAAATTAAATTAGCTCAATTTAATGCTAAACTCAAAATCAAATTCTTTTCCTATTGCATAACATTAATATTGATGGTGATGCTAATGCTGAACACCGGTTTCGTGCAGTTTCGATGTCGTAAGATTCGTTCAAAAAAAATTTGGTTATGTATATGCCTAATTCTAGAAAGGAAAGTGAAAGGTATCTTCTTCTTTCAGTTTTAATTGATGGCATACATATTTTATTCTCAACTTAATACTGGCATGTTTAATTAATTAACATATTATTTTTGGATTAAGTAAAAGTGGTAATCACACATTTGCGGGATCACATTATCGGGAATTGTGGATTTTGTGTACAATTTGGGGCATAAAGTAAATATTTGGAGCTGATAAAGATATGGTTAACATATATTTTGAATGAATTGTGATAGGGTGTTCTATCTGAGTGTTTTTTTTTTTGTGTAAGCAGGTCAAGTCCGGATTTGTGATCGAATTGGCTGAAACTTGAAATTTAAATTTCTTAAAGAGCCGGAAATGTCAATGAAAAGCCAAAAATAGGTGGAAGAGGTTCAGTCTTGGACATACCCCTCATATAGTAGATATTTGGAGCTGATAACTGTCAAGATATGGTTACCGTATATTTTGAATGAATTGTGATAGGGTGTTCTATCTGAGTGTTTTTTTGTCTGTAAGCAGGTCAAGTTCAGATTTGTGATCGAATTTGCTATAACTTAGAATATGAATTTCTTAAAAAGCCGGAAATGTCAATAAAAAGCCAGAAATAGGTGGAAGAGGTTCAGTCCTGGATATACCCCTCATATTTCGGGGTCTAATTGCTACATTGGAATTGCCACTTGAAATGGGGTCAACGTAAATACCAAGATACATACACTAGGCTTGGAAAACTAATCAAGGATCTTTAACATTGCAAAACTTAAACGGTCAAATAACATTGGCCTATATTGAACATTTTCTGGGGAGAAAAACTTTCTTTACCAAGAACCTAGAAGGCTGAATTACAGACTTTTCGGTTCGAAAACAAAGACTTGTAAAGGCTACTTTTTGGGTATGTCAGCCTCCAAAATGTCAAATTAGAACCATTTCAATAAAGTCGAACGGGGCCGACTATACGATACCCTTCACCACATTGGCTATATTCAACAGATGGAATCCTAACAGACGTCGCATTTTGAAGGACCATTAACATGAAATTAAACATTTCATGCTTCTTCAAATTATGTAAATAAATTTAAAGCAAAATATCGAAATCTAAACGGATCTCATCGAAACTTGTCACATGTGAGGTTACACTTATTTCAGTATGTTTTGTGCATTCGGCCAAATTTTGAGTTCTTCATTTACTTATAAATCCACATTTCGTGCAAATCGAAAGATACATAGGGACTTTGGTGGACCATTTACGGACGAAAATATATATGGCAGCTATATCTAAATCTGAACCGATTTTTACGAAATTTAACATGCATCTTTCTAGACTTAATACAGAACGCTGTGCCAAATTTCGTGCAAATCGAAAGATATATGGGGACGTTGGTGCATCAATTACATAAAATCGGACGAAAATATATATAGGAGCTATATCAAAATCTGAACCGATTTTCACGAAACTTAGCACACGTCATTCTAGACTTAATTCAGTACGCTACGACAAATATCGTGGAAATCGAAGAATATATAGGGACTTTGGTGCACCATTTACCTAAAATCGTGGGAAACTATATATGGGAGATATATCTAAATCTGAACCGATTTTCACGAAACTAAGCACACGTCATTCTATACCTAATTCAGTACGCTGTGCCAAATTTCGTGCAAATCGAAGGATATATAGGGACTTTGGTGTACCATTTTCCTAAAATCGGACGAAACTATATGTGAGAGCTATGTCTAAATCTGAACCGATTTTTACGAAATTTAAGACACATCTTTCTAGACTTAATGCAGTACGCTGTGCCAAATTTCGTGCAAATCGAAAGATATATGGGGACGTTGGTGCATCAATTACATAAAATCGGGCGAAACTATATATGGGAGCTATATCTAAATCTGAACCGATTTTCACGAAACTAAGCACGCGTCATTCTAGACTTAATTCAGTACGCTATACCAAAATTCGTACAAATCGAATGATTTGCAGGGACTTTGGTGCACCATTTACATTAAATGGGACGAAAATATATATGGGAGCCGATTTTCTCCAATTTCAATAGGGTTCGTCCTTGGGCCAAATAAGTGACTTATGCCAAATTTCATCCAAATCGGATTAAAAATGCGACCTGTACTTTGTTTGCAATTTAACATCCGACGGACGGACTGACAGACGGACGGACGGACATGCATAAATCGACTCAGAGAGTGATTCTATGCATATTCTCAAAAGGAACCATTGGTCTATCTCGATTCTTTTTGCCTGTTAGAAACATATGCACAAAGACATAATACCCTGTACCACAGTGGTGAAGGGTATAATGAGCGTCTCGAAACACCTAAAAGTGGTCGCAAACTGTATATGGGAGCTATATCTGAAATATTGCGATTTCTATCGTGATTACAACAGACAGACGGATTTCGATAAATTGACACAAATCAGTACAAAAAACGAGATAACTATACCAGGCAGTATGGGAAGAGATAGAATATTGCAGTTAATCATAATCGGAATCGACACCATCTATAACCACTGTTTCCAAAAATCCCGAGAACAGTTTTGCCCTTTATGAGCGATTTCCGCAGTATTCAATGAAACCGAGCAATGATCTACGATTTTAAGGCACTTAAATATATATATATATATATATATAACATAAAAACAAAACAAACAATTATTTTGGACGAATCAATAAATTAATTATAGCATACACAACAACGTTGTCAGGATTTTATCGATTTGTGTCTCCCCAAGAGTTTGTAACGCCGCGAAATATTGGTCCTAAACCCAAATTTAAGTGTACCTATCGTCAAATCTCGACTCGCTGAATCGATTTAGACATGTGTGTCCTTCCGTCCGTCCGTCTGTTCATTATAATTTGTAAACACGATACAGATCATAGTTATGGACCAATCGTCACGTTTGCATGTAGGATGGGCTCTGGAAAAAGAAGGTCCCTATTGCTTTTGATAATGATCCGTTAATATTTAGGGGATGAAATGGACCAAAAACTTTATTCTTGTCTGTTCCTCTGGCCACAATTATTACTCGAACATCACGAAATTTTGCATGAAGAAGGGGATCAGCCCAAAGCATAAGCGTGCCTGTTTTGCTAAAGATTGGCCAATATTTAGCGGGATAAATGGTCCCTGACTTTGACAGTACATCCAAGAGGAGTGGTTGACCTTTAAATTGATATCAATTATGTGGCTGTATGTACTCGGCCTGCGTATTCTGATATTGTTTACTATTACAATTAACCCACTATAAGGCGGAAAATAGCGCTGATGGCTAGGACAATTTGCATGAGGTTCCGGTTACAGCCAAGACAACGCCGGCGATGGAATTGACAAATTTTCTAAGAGGAAGGTGAACGGTCAAATGAATGGAGTACATTTCTACTGCGGAAATATGCCGAGCTGCTTGCCTCTAATCTGCCAAGAGAGGGCAAATATCGCGTAATATTGCCCAGGCTTATCTTTATTTAAGGGTCTTTAAATCGTAGGTCATTGTTCGGTTCCAGAACCCGCAAGAAATCTACCCATATATAAATTTTAAATTAATTAGATTAGATGATATCATATCAAAAGGCCGAAAAAACAAGCAATACTCAATATTAAATTGGATTTTTTGTTTTTGTGTATTGGAACAGCCATAAATAATGCTCCAATTCAATTTTTTTACATTCATAATTTCAAACGAACAGGGAGATGCCTATCCACAATACCTCTCTTCAAATAATGTAGCATAATTTTCGGAGTTTAACTATTGTGATTGATAAACATATTTTGTCCTAAAATTAAAAAAAAATTCAAGTTTACGTCATAATTACATCTATAATACGACTCCGAATGTACACATAAAATAATGTGTCCCCTTAATTAAATATATTCGAAACATATTTTTTATTATTAAATATTTCTAAAATATATTAAATTAAATATACATTCAACTAAATACTATCCTATAAATTAATGTAAAAACTTGACGCAAAAACAAAACTTTTATTGCCATTTTTGATTATATCTTTGAAATTTATTCATAGCTTTCTAATCAACGTTTCTTTCTTAAGTCTATTGTTTTGTGTTCAATTTAAAAGCTGCGATTAAAATTTGTAATTATGCCTAAAACTATGCTTATGTAGCTTCCGTATAAAGTATGTAGTATATAATGTTCAAGCAATTCTCATCGATACAACGCTTTGGAAATAATCGTATAT